AGAGTCCAAGTATGGGTATTATCACAGTCTGCTTGCCCTGGATTGAGAAGTCTTTTCCCTGGCCACGCCTCCTTGCGTGGCCACGTCCCCCAGAAAACATTCTCAGTCCACCCCGATCAGATTGTTCTTCTATGAGCTCCAGGTTTTTTTGAATTATTTTTCCCTAACTTGGACTCTCCAAACTCTCTTTTCCCTTTATTTCTCTTGATTTTGCCTTCTTTTTCCTTTCCCTTACTGTAGCAGCCTGGATTGCTGCTGTTAAAGCCTCGTGCGAGGCTTGGAGGTAGACCGCTGGGGGGGGGGGGGGGTTTCCAAGCCACGCGCCTGTCGCTGGCTTCGGAGGCATGCCGCGGCTCCCTTAAAAGTGCGGCGGGCGGCTAGAGGCTCCAGGGACTGCAGCAAGGCTGCGTTTGGCACTTTTCTTGTTTTCCCTTGAGGTCTTTTTCGATTTTGGCCATAGGGTTGAGGAGCTTTGTCGCAGAGGCGAGCGGGGCCTGCAGACTGAATCACATGTGACCACGCTCGCTCTCTCTTTCCCCTCACGCTGTTGTGGCGGCCATTTTAGGGCTGGGAGTTTCGCGCCCTTTTAAGGCCCTGGCCTCTGTTTCAGCCCTGTCTTACCGGGAGGCCGCTGGGTGGATACCGGGGTCAGCGGGGACCTTACCCATCCCTCAACTGTCCCTGGACCACCTTCCTCGATCTCCAAGCGGCGCTGGCTCAAGAGCCTTCATGCCTGAGCCCTGGCACAGGGAGGCCCCGGGCCTGCAGATTGGCTATAGTTTTAAACTCAGGAGAGGTTTTTCTTCCCTCTTCATTGCTGGCTCCTGGGAGGCCCCCTGAATATCCCGGTTGAGGTTTTGGCCTAATAAGCTGCAAACTCATTAACCTCCTCCTTATCTGCTCTGCTCATGAATTTCCTAGTTGTGCATTCCTTTATTTGTGGAGTATCTTTAATCATGATTCTCTCACTTTTTTCTATTGCAGAGCAGTCTGTCAGAGTTTCCTGTCTTTTTCTGCCAATTGCCTGATCAACCTGTGTGTTTTCCTCATGGATTCCTCTTGTCTCAGGTTCCCTTGCTGGTAGACAGGGTCCTCTGCAGGTTCCGAGCGTGGGTTCTCCCTAAGCTATGGAGGATGGTTCAGGCAGGGTGCGGGTGGTCAGTCAGGGCAAAACCCCTAAGACCCACTCTGTGGCCGAGGCCAGGGATGCTGAGAGGCGCCAGAGGGCCCTTGACAAGCAATTTGAGAAAGCCAGGCGCCTGGCGGAGAGAGATGCTCTCTCTTCTACTCCTGGGGTTTCCTTGGCTCCTCCCCCTCCCAGAGAGGATCCCGCAGCTCTGTTGGCCGAGGAGGTTGAGTCGCAAGACTTATCCCCCGGCAGATCCTTAGCTCTTTCCTCCCCTGCTCCCTCCTGGTCCTATGACCAAGAACAGGAACCGGTAGGACATTCTGTTCCCATTCCTCAGGATAATTCCCTTCATATTCAGAGAGAACATGCTGATCCGGACATGGGTTCGGATTCTGACTCTGAGGCTGAGCTTTCTCCTAGCATGCAGAGGATGATGGACAGGGCTATTGCTAGGGCCGTGGAGGCCGCCATGCGGAAGCGTGAGCGCCCGGTATCAGTTCCCTCTAAGACCACCCTTACTGAGCCGCCTCCGCCAAAGCGGGTGCGCCATCCATCTCTTGAATCCTCCGTGGTCAGTGAGACCTCGGCTCCTGAGGATCCGATTTAGAATCTTTTTCAATTGTCAGATGACGAGGATGATCTCACATCTGACGCCCCATCATTCTCGGGGCTCTTCAAGCCTTCACTCTTTAAATCCATTCTGCAGAAGGTGAAGG